AGAGAGAGAGAGAGAGAGAGAGAGTTCCTATTAAAGCAATGAGCTCTTACATCGGCTGGTTGTGTGTATACATATATATATATATATATATGTTGTATATATGTGTGTGTGCGCGTGTGTGTGTGTGTATATATATATATAGAGAGAGAGAGAGAGAAAGAGAGAGGGAGAGAGAATGGAATATTATTCAGCCCTAACATGTAGGATATCCTACCATTTGTGACAACATGGATGAACCTGGAGGACATTATGCTAAGTGAAGTAAGCCAGACACACAAAAAAAATACTACATGATCATACTTACATGTGGAATCTAAAAAAAAGTGAAATACATACAAACAGAGTGAATACAGGTCACTGGGTGCATAGAGGGGTGAAGGAGGAATTGGGGAAATGTGGACCAAAATGTAGGCCAAAGGGTGCAAAGTTGTCATTTTGTAGGATGAATAAGTCTAGAGATCTAATATACAGCATGAGAACTATAATTAGTAATATTGCATTGAATATGAAAAATTTGCTAAAAGTTTAGATTTTAAATGCTCTCACCATTAAAAAGGTAACAATGTCAGGTGAGAGATATGTAAATTAACTTGACCATAGATATGATTTTACTATGTATATGTATATCAAAATATCATGTTATACTCCTTAAATGTATACAACGTAAAAGAAGCTCTATTACAGAATGAAGAAAGGCACTCATTTGGTATTTGACCTTAGGCAAATTTCTTAATATTTCCAAGGCTTCGTTTCCTTATCAGTAAAATGAGGATAATACTAGAACCTTGCCAATAAGACTATTATTGAAGAGTAAGGGAGATAATCCATGCTGAGCACTTAGCACTGATTAGCGGATGGACATCGCAAGTCCTCAGTAAATCTTGGTTATCGTTAGGAAAGCCATCCATGCTTGATCCCAGCCCTTTACCAGCTCAGACAAGTAGAAGCAGATGAACGAAGCCCAGAGGGACTCCACATTGCAATCCTATCTGTCCAGGCTCTTTGCCCCAGTGGCAGTTTCAACACTATACTCTCAAAAAACATTTTTTGAAAAGTTCCATTTATACCTTGTTTTGCAAAGTTAACATCCCAGGTCAACAGCAAACATTCAGCCACTGAACATGGGTCACTGTCCGTTTAGCTCTACTGCACTGGATTGCAGGGCTTGGTTGGAAAATATTTACACCCAACCTCACACCAATATCCAAGGAACAAAACTGACCTACTCTGCACCTCCGTATTCCTCCTAAAAGAGGAACAGCGTGACAATACTACTTCAAAAGATATTTGGCAGTTAAAGAACCAAGTTTTATGAACATACGCAAGATTAAATCATCTTATGTACTAACTAGGAAAAGCCAACTCAAGTTGTCAGCGAATAAAGGAATGTAAAAACCAGCAAAATACCTGACATATCATTGGCACTTAAGACAAGCTGGGATGGAAGAGAAAAGTAATATGGAGTATTTCTGATTCTTTGAAGAACGTTTTAACAGGAAAAGGAGAATAAACACCAGCACAAACTAATCTTAAAATCTCACCAGTCTCAGGCTATGTACACTACCTCTTAATTTAATCAGGTAACTACATTTTTCTGTAACTTAGATCATCTGAATATACATCTTTACATATTGCCAGAGGGTCAGATGAATTACACAAAGCAACACACACATGAATGGAAACTGTTTACCTGTCTTCAGGTATGGTTTCAGCATCCGGGCCAGTTCCTCAGGATTGCTTTCAGATAATGTTAAAACCCTGAGAAGCCTCAGTGACTTTTAGAGAGGAGAGAAATGTCAGCTTGGAATGGTAACCACAGATGGATGCATCCTGAAATGCTGGCGTTCTCTTGTTTCTTACCGTTCCAGAAGTAAATCTGTTAATCTTTCTCAAACATTTTATTTTCCCTAATTCTTTCCTCTGGGAGGTCCTAAAGGATCTATTATTCAGATCCTGGACTTCTTACCCTCTCTGCCTTGTTTTTTCAGAACTTAAAAATTTGAGCATGTGACTTGCTGTTGAATGGGGACCCGATTCATTCAATGAACTTTCATTAAGTGCCTGCTGCTTCAAAGGCATCATACAGGGCAGTGTGGTGGATACTGTAAACCCCATTCATCCGCAAACAATATTGAGGACCAACTGTATATCCACCACTAAAGAGGTAAATTTGAATAGAGCCCAACCTTGTGCTCCGATTTATAGACGAGTGAGGGAGGTAGGCTTTACTTGTGTTGTACGAATTACAACGCAATGTGATTAAGTGCAGAACAACAGACTTGTGAGGTTCCCCCCTTTGCTGACCCCTCCCACTGAAATGTGAGAACAGATGTGGTGGCAATGCCAGAGCACCCCAGAGAAACCGGTCACAGGCCTCCAGCAGCAGTCCGTCATCACTCAGCCGCGATGGAAATACAAACCAAGCACTATAGCCCCTCATCCTCCCACACTCCCACAGAGCTCTTTGGGGTGTTTTTCTTTCTTTCTTATAAAAACTATAGAATTTTCATTTGTCTCTGGGAAGGATCTCTGGGGCCCCTCGTTCTTCCCCTCATTCTCTTTCTAGTCTCATTTTTCTTTCTTTTTTCTCATGTCTGTTGGTGTCTCTGGCGTCCTCCTTCTCCACTGTTCTGACGCCATCCTCTCATCATGTTACCCCCACCCCCAAATAACACCATGTAAATTGCCAAGTCCTGACTACACAAAAGTATTTCTTCTGCAGTGTGGGTAAGTCTTCTGTATATTATAACATTTAAAAGGTTTGACACTACAATATTTACTTTTAACATTTTTAATTGAAAGCAAAAATCTACAGATAAAATCCATCTTCTATTAAGACTATTAAATAATGGTCTTAAAAAAAACCCAGAAAGAGTTTTTCCTTCATGAATCTGATCCAAATGAAAGCCCTGGAGAAAAGAAAATTGTCTAATTGTGAGCACTTCCTCCCTGTCTCAGGATGTGTACATTTCTGGAAAAATCGAGAAATGGAGAGTTATGTATGAGATGAGCTAAATCAAGGGCGGGCATCCTTTTTTGTGGCATCTCCCTTGGATGCTGTGGCTTTGGGGTGCTTTGTCTCTCACTGGGTGAGACAAGAATGCCATTGTTGTTGCTTTCACCACAGTTCTGGGAATGAAGAATAGCAATGTTCTTTATTTTTACATCTCAGTATAATCTCTTTATTGAAGGCCTACATTTCAGAAGGTCTCAATTTGAAATGTGGATCTTGGAAAACCATACCTAGTAATCAGGAAGAAACCCACAGGGTATATAGGAGATGGAGCCACGCTCCCAGTTGTACTGCTGTGTGGATGCTCTGACCTGGGACGTGAGACCCGGGGGCTGGGGGTCCAATGCCACGGCTCCAGTGCTGGGAGGTAAGAGCAGAGGCTCTGGAATGTGACTGACTGCAGGTCAACCTTGGCTTCGTCACTTTCTAATGTGACTTTGAGATACCTCTTTAACTTCTCTCTGCCTCAGTTTCCTCCCTGTGAAACAGGGGAGATAATAGAGCCTGCCTCATGGCATCCTCATGAGAGGTGAATGCATTCATATTTATAGAGTTCTTAGAGCTGTGTTCGCATGTGGTAAGCACTTGTGTACACATTATTATGATTCCCAAGACTCCAGGGGAAATCCAGTTAATGGCAGAATGGTCTTCTTTGTTCTGGACACAAACCGTGAATTCCTGGCATTTAATACACTTAAATCTCAAGTCACATAATTCCAGATCCTGAAGACAGGTTTTTAAAAAGACGCCATTCCATCATAATACTGTAACCAACAAGCAAAACAGAGGTAACAACGCAATATATAGGATGCCGTGGAGCCATTTCAAGGCAAAAACAGTAACCGACGAACAGTATTAGGGTTGTGACATTGCCCTTGTGAGACATGCCTTTCAGGATTTTGGTGTGTTTGTGCTTCAGAAAATGGCACCTTTGAGACAAACAGACTTTTTCCTCAGATTCCCGGGTTCAAAGAAACCCACAGTTCACCAAGGCAGTTTGCTCAACTCTAATTAGGAATCTGATTGCTGGTTGGCCTTGCACAAAGGACTTTTAATTAGGGCTGAGAACGCTTAGAAAAATCCACTTGGCAAGTCGACTCCCTCCCTCTATCTCTTTTTTAACATCTTGCCAAGATCATAAGGAAAGGGAGAGCTTAATTACAGTTGGTGTATATATCTTTAAGAAAAAAATACATTAAGTGCTTTAAAATAGGCTCTCTTGGCTCTGTGATCACAAGGATTTTACTCACTTCTTATCCCTGATTGGTCTCATTCTCAGTTACAGATGAATCAGACACATTTTGAGCAGCTTTAAGATTTGCTTTTCATCCGAAGCCAAGTAGGCAAATGGCAGTGAATTCACAAGCTTTTCCAAATGATCTCATAGGTTCCTCTGGCTCCACTTTGGGGGCCGTTTGCACTCTGCAAGGCTGTTATCTTAAACACTCCCTGCCTGTTTGTGTCCAAGGAGAGGCCACGGTGTAGGACAAGGCAAGGCACTTCACTTTTTAAAAGGCAAGTTTGAACCTCTTTTTTTTTTTTTTTGAGATGTAGTCTCGCTCTGCTGCCCAGGCTGGAGTGCAGTGGCATGATCTCAGCTCACTGCAACCTCTGCCTCCCGAGTTCAAGCAATTCTCTGCTTCAGCCTCCCAAGTTGCTGGGATTGCAGGTGCCCACCACTACACCCAGCTAATTTTTTTGTATTTTCAGTAGAGATGGGGTTTCACCATTTTGGCCAGGCTGGTCTTGAACTTCTGACCTTGTGATCCACCCACCTAGACCTCCCAAAGTGCTAGGATTACAGGCATGAGCCACTGCGCCCGGCCAAGTTTGAGCCTCTTAACATGTGCATATGGCAGCTGTGAATCAAAAAAGAAGAATAAAAAGAGCACATGAAAAACCTTGAGCCAGAAAGGTGAGCCTGGAGGAGGTGGGGGTGGAAATACAGCCTTAGAGATGGACGCTGTCCTTAAATCCTTCACGAGAGCATCGTCATCTCTCAATGCCTTGTCCACCCTCTCGTTAAATCTCCCAGCCTGAAAACAGGTGACCCACGCTCCCTTTCAATCCATTTAAACCTGGCCCCAGCAGCCAGTGGCTTTTTAATTATTTATATGAAATATCTGATACTACATGAAGCAGCTAAACCCAGTATAATGTATGCTCAGGACGACTCTGTGAAGCTCAAAACAGCCACTCGGATACACAAGATTTTTCCGACTGAAGTTTGCTTTTTACCATTCCTTTCGTCTCTGCCTTTTTTCATGTCTTTGTGCCTTGGTGCTAAGGATCCCTTTCATCTCATCTCAGGAACCTGAAGCTCTGCTATTGAATTACATTTCTTCACTTACTATTTATGTTTGATGCAAAAATAAGAAAGCGGGTAGAACCAGAAGATGCTGTCACTTACTTCAGAAAGGGATATGTCGATCATTCTTGAGCTTCATCCAGCTCTTTCACACTTTCTAAATGTGATGCTTCTGTGCACTCTTGAGTTTGGCTTTGTGGGATTATCTTAAAATTCAGGCACACCCTCCCAGTTGAGCTTGAGACGCTCGTGGTCAATAGGAATTTTAGTCTTCTGCCTTTTGACTGACTACTGGGTGAGGGGTGGAGGAGGCAGGCTGCTTTGAAATGTTCCCCACCACCTGGGAATATCTGATGGCTGTAGAGCGCTTTCCTATGCAAACGTCTTTCTAAGGTCACTCTGACTCTGCAGTAGCAGCCACAAATACATTTAATTATCTTTATGGTGAATGTCACTGGACTAAAACCCCTTAATATCAAAGAAAATATTGGAAAGAGAACAGCTTTCTAATTCAAGCCAGGTGAATTTCCAAGATATTTGGCTGATTTATTACACCATATGTATGTCTCTCCTTCACATTGTTTTTACCCTGTCGTAAGAGAGACTAGACATTTGTTTGTCATTGTTAGGTTCTTATGCTATTAAAAATAATCGGGTTTATTAGTTACCTTCTTTCCCAACTGCCAAGAACGCTCTCCAGAATTTAATGTTAGCTCTTCTGATGAGCTGGAGAAGGAAATATCATTATCCTTGTTTTACAGATGGAGAAATCTGAAGGCCCCGGAGACTGTTTTGCCTAAAGGTGAAAGTGTTGTTTTAATCCTAGACTTTTATTTTTATCTCTTCAATTTTCTTCCTGAGGGTAGTAATGAGCTTGGAGGATTCATAAGGACTAAACCTTGTCTGAAGACTTGTTTATAAAATTATTTCAATAAAATCTACAATCAGATTGGCTGGGGCAGGTCTTCAAACCGAGTGGCTTCCCTAATGAGCACACTCATCAGGGTGGCAAAAATCTCGTTACCAGCCAGTTTCTCCCACACTCTGTGAAGGCAGAGGATGGGGGCTGGTGGAAATTTATTAGTAATAAAGACCAAAGCCCTAGGAGCTTTTATACTTGAAGAAAGGAGATTTCTTTTTCATTTGTTTAATTATTTAAAAAGTTAGGCTGGAAAATGTTTGGGGAGCAGCTAATAATGTGACTTCAGAGAGGGATGGCTTGGGCATATCCTACTCATTAGCTCCAGAGGCCACTTAAAGTTGGACTTTCCTCAATTTAGTTGCTGTCTCCTCATTTCCCTTCCTTTCGGTTGTACTATTTTTCCCTCTGACTCCTCCCTGCCTCCCCAACTCAACTCACACACTTATTTACAGGAAAGACTGAATTTTCAAATCAAAAGGAATCTAGAAGGAGAATTTTGATGCTTCAGAGCCCAGGGCTTTTATATACTCATGTACATCCTGGTACTATATGTAACGTAAATATGCTGGCAATTTACAACAGGTCAACAGCATTGAATACATAAGGCCAAAATGTGGCCCATTGTGTGACTATGTTGTTAGGAGGCTCCATCACTCAAAGGTGGGAAAGTGCATCTCAGTCCTAAAGATCCACCATTGCGTGCACAAACACACACACACACACACACACACACACACACACACCACCCTCCCCAGGTTGGCTTAGTTGTCCCTGTGTCTCTGCTGAAATGGGAAGAAGGCTGAGCACAGTGTGCTTCATCACTGACTTCCTTGTGTAATGGAAGCTCAGCAAGTCGGGACCGTTATATAGACTTTCTGCTTCCTACTTGAGAACTGCATTTGGCACAGATGGACAGTTGTAATTCATTTCCATTCTATTTTTGTTATTTTCAATAACATTTACTGTTTTCTGATAAAATTTCTGATTTGCAAATGATAAAGCAATATATGCTTATTGCCAAGAACAAAGGAAAACAGAAAACAAAAAGTATTGAGAAGAAAATGACATTATCCATAATTATCCCACTCAGAAAATAAATGTTAACATTTGGTTTAGACCCTTCCCATCATAAAAGACACCTTTTTCCATTTAGGATTAGTATATATAGACAGTTCAGATCCTACTTTTCCATTTCCATTTATTTCTTGAGCATTCTCCCATGTCATTAAGTCATTTTTGAAAATATGATTTTTACCAATTACTTAAATTCCATTGTATGACATGATATGATTTATGTACCCATCTCTCTAATGTTGGATATTTAAGTTGTTCTACTTTGTAGAATTATCATAAATAATTCTGTAGTGCACATCTCTTTACAGCAATCTTTGCCCACAACTCTATTTTTGGAGGAATAGCTTTTTCAAGTAGAATGAATGAATCAAAGCCTGCTAACATTGTGATAACTCTTAGTATCTGTTTTCAAAAAGCATTCTACCAATTTATATCCCGATAACTATATTTGACTATTTGACAGTATCCATCCCCTGAATCTTTTTTTTTTTTTTTTTTTTTTTGAGACGGAGTCTCGCTCTGTCGCCCGGGCTGGAGTAGTGGCGCTGTGCGATCTCGGCTCACTGCAAGCTCCGCATCCCGGGTTCATGCCATTCTCTTGCCTCAGCCTCCCGGTAGCTGGGACTACAGGCGCCCGCCACCACGCGCGGCTGATTTTTCGTATTTTTTTTTCGTAGAGATGGGGTTTCACCGTGTTAGCCAGGATGGTCTCGATCTCCTGATCTCGTGATCCGCCCGCCTCGGCCTCCCAAAGTGCTGGGATTACAGGCCTGAGCCACCGCACCCGGCCGCTCAAACTGAATCTTTATACCACAGAAAATTTTTTTAAATCTTACTAACTGGATATATATTTACATCAGTAAATGATATCTTACAGATGTTAATTTGTATGTCTTTGATAACTAGCTATTTTTAACAGTTTCACTGAGGTACAATTTACATACCATAAAAATCACCCAGCTTAAGTATACAACTCTAAGATTTTTAGGAAATTTATAGAGCTGTATAACCATCACTAATTTTAGAATGATTTGCAGAAATTCTCATTTTAGAAAGGTCCCTACTATCCCCCTCCGTCTCTACTCCAAATCCTGTCCCTGTGTAGCCACTGATCTGCTTTCTGACTCTGTAAGTTTGTCTTTTCTGGACATTTCATAGAAACAGAATAGGATGTAGTATTTTGTGTCTGGCTTTTTCACATAGCCTAATGTTTTTGAGGTTTACTCATGTTTTAGCATGTTGTAATAGTTTGTATCTATATTTAAGTCATTTTTTAGAGCTGAATAGTATTCCTTAGTATGGTTGTATTGCATTTTTATTTATTTTATTTTATTTTATTTTGAGATGGAGTTTCCCTCTTGTTGCCCAGGCTGGAGTGCAATGACGCGATCTCTGCTCACTGCTACCTCCATCTCATGGGTTCAAGCGATTCTCCAGCCTCAGCCTCACAAGTAGTTGGGATTATAGGCATGTGCCACCACGCCCAGCTAATTTTTGTATTTTCAGTAGAGACGGGGTTTCACCATGTTGGTCAGACTGATCTCGAACTCCTGACCTCAGGTGATCCACCCACCTCAGCCTCCCAAAGTGCCAAGGTGGCTCACCCACAATGACTTACAGGGGTGAGTCATTGTGCCTGGGCTGCATTGCATTTTTATTATCTTATCAACAGGTGATGGACATTTGGATTGTTTCCAGCTTGGGTCCGTTATTCATCCTTCTACTATGACTTCGTGTTTTCACATGTTTGCATTTCTCTTGGTAGATCCCAGGAGTGGAACTGCTGACTCATCTAGTTTTTAAAATGTCCGTCAACTAACTAGTGAATAGATAAACAAAATTTGTTAAATTTTAAATTTCACTTATTTTCTGGAATGGTTTCTATAACATATAAATCATACATTTTCTGAAATTTTGAAGAATTCTTTAGCAAGCCACCTGGACCCAGGAAGCTTTTGAAAGGAGATATTTTGATGATTTTATAATTTCCTTCTCAAGGTTATTGGGGGGTGTGTGTGTGTGTGTGTGTGTGTAAAACTTACTTTGTTTATATATTACTTAATCAACTTTAGCAATTTTCCCCAGAAAAACATCTATTTCATCAATATCTTCAAGTTATTAGCATAGAACATAATCTTATTCAATTTAAATATCCTCTGTAATATGCTCATATTCTTTTTCTCACTTCTAATATTGTTGGTTCATCTTTTCTCTTTTCCTGGATTCAACAGATAAAAAGCACTTCTATATTGTTAGCCTTAAAAAAATTAAAAACACTTGGATTTATCAATTGTACTTTATTTTCTGATTCATAAATCGCCATATTATCTTTCTTTTCCTTTTATTTCTGCTGGTTGGATTTTATTCTTCTATTTCTCATTTTTTAGCTGTATGCTTTAGTCATATGTTTACTCTCGGGCTTAATAATGACAGCATGTGGCAGCCTCAACATACCTCTCTTGTACTGATCTAGGCAGTTTCTATGAGTGCTTATATATAACATTGTGATTTTTATTATTTTCTAAATAGCTTGTGATTATAGTTTTCACCTTCTTTTTAATGCAGTCTATATATATATATATATATATATATATATATATATATATATTAGTTTCCAAGTGGTTGAAGGGTGAGTTTTTAAACTTTTGTTTACTTTTGTAATTTTTGTCTAGTTTTGTTGCATTTTGGACAAAAGTTCTCTTTGTGGTCTTTATAGTATTTGTTTTGCTCTGGTTTTCAAATAATACATCAGAAAGGCATACTCTGTTGCTAGGGAACAAAATTCAATATTTGTCTATTAATCAACTTTGATGATTGTGGTGTATCAAACTTAGGTGTCTTTTTTTTTCTCTGTTAATTGTCAAAGTCTGGTGCTTACGTCTCTTATAACAATTGTTTTTCTGCTGAGTTCCCCTTTTATTCCTGTCAAATTTTTGTTTTTTATATTTAATATTGAGCTTTTATTGTGTGACTTTAATCATTATACTATCTTCATCCTGCATTGTACCTTCTATCAACATAAAATGCCCACAAATGGCTCTTTTATTCCAAGTGTTGCTTTATGATGAATTCTACTTTGTCTTATTATTACTGCCATTCTTCTTTCATTTTAATTTGCATTTGCTTGAAAAATAATTGGTTATCATGTTATTCTTTTAACTACTTAGAATTAACTCCAATATTTATTGGTGTTTTTCCTGATTTCAAAGTGAACTCATGTTCATTGCAGAAATCCTAGCAACTACAGAAAAGCACACACATACAAAATCATCCTTTACCCAATATGCAGACTTTTCTCCTTTTTTCTCCTCTATTCTTTTAAAATTTTCTTTGGTATGTTCAAAGCTGGAAGAGTCTCACACAGGGGTCTGCAGGCCACAGACCAATTAAACCAGAAACTGTATCATTCTACAGATCCTAGCGTAGAAGAACAAAGTTATCAAGAAACCAGCTCTTGTTTCTGTTTCATTTCTTGAAATCCAAAACAGCAAAACACATTCCTCCCTAGTCTCCTGTGGGAGCATAGAAACAAAGCGATTAGATTTCTGGGGATTCAAAGCAAGAATGACTTAAAACTGCGGTGGTCCAGAGACCCCGAAGCCCAGGCTGGCTCCCTTGTGTCAGGAGTTTAGAGAAGGTGAGTCTAGCGGCTGCCACTAGGAAACAAAACCCCAGCTTCAGCGAGGGCCTGGTGTGTGTGTCGCTGTGGTGGGAGTCTCAGCGTGTGTGTGTGTGTGTATGTGTGGCTGGTGGTGGTGTGTGTGCATGCGGAGGGGTGAGCCAAGAGGTCATAGCAGTAGAGAGTTTGGCAGCAAGCCCAGAGGTCCCGTCGAGGGTAAGCAGATAGTCAACACACCTGAGTCCATTTCCTTTCAGACATCTCTGGAGGGCAGAGAAACCCGGGATCTGAGAACTGCCCCAAGTCATGTTCTGGCTTAAAAAAGTAAGACCCGGAGCTTGAGCAAAAATGTGTCCTATGTCAAAGAATCTGCAAATAGGCTCTCCTAGGAAAGGTGAAAAGGATTGACTGCCTTTAACATAAAAGAAGAAAAGACTAAGTGACTGCTTAATTACTACCATCAAATCCGTGGAGGTGTTCTTAAACAGAGTGCTCAATGGTTTTCCGCTTTCTCTGGAAGACAAATAGGGTTAAATGTGATCACTTAAGATAATGGAAATGTCAAGGAGTTTCTTAACCCTCAGATTTACGCAACATGAAATGTCCAGGCGCGGTGGCTTACGTCTATAATCCCAGCACTTTGGGAGGCTGAGGTGGGAGGATTGCTTGAGCTCAGGAGTTCAAGACCAGCCGGGGCAACAGAGAGACCTCATCTCTACTAAAAGCCAAAAGTCAAAAAAATTAGCCCAGTGTGGTATTGTGCACCTATGGTCCCAGTTACTTGGAAGGCTGAGGCTTGAAGATCACTTGACCCCAGGAGATCAAGGCTGCAGTGAGCTGAGATCACATCACTGCACTCCAGCCTGGCTGACAAAGCAAGACCTTGTCCAAAAAAAAAAAAAACACCATGAAATGGTCTACAGGGAAAGATAATAGCATTGCCATTGCCATCCCCAGTGATCATTGAAGAGAGAGAGAAATAGCCATCCAGAACCAGAATGCAGGGTCTATAAACTCCTAGGAAACAGCACAGGCCTCTGGGTCAGGCAGATCTGGGCAGTAGCTCTGCACAATCTCAGAAAGATTACTTAACCTATTTACCCTTAGTTTCCTCATCTGTAAAATGGGCATAATATCACAGATATTTGTTGGATTAAAGCAAATGACATAGTAGGTGCTCAACAAATTTTACCTTCCTCCCCCTTTCAACTATCATTTGATAAATAGTTAATCTTGCACACTGACCACTAAAGAGGATACTAATTAAATGCCATTCACAAAAGATTTACTGAGCATCCACTTTATGTAAGGCACTAGTATGAACATTTGGCATTTCTTGGCTCCCCAGCATCCATTCACCCTTCTTTTGCTAAGCCTCCAATTTATGTATGGATGTCCATCCCACCCTCCTTCTCTCTTGGTCAGTGTGGTTGTGGTGGAGTTTAGCGGGGAGCCGGCCCTTTCTTCTCCTAGAGCTGAACCTGGGAGGTGGGGACTAGTGGAGCCATCTCACCTCCTCAAGAGCCTGAGAATGAAAATACACAGAGAAGAGCAGATCTGAGTTTATAGAAACAGGGAGAAACCAGCCTAACACCTGGAGTTTTCAGTTATGTGACTCAATGAATTCTACCTTTTGTTTAAGTGAATTTGAGTTGGGTTTTCAGTTGCCAAAAGAGTCCAAACTGATTTACCCTATGGAGGACATGTAAAAACAAATAAGGCTAAAAAGCTTATACATTATAAATAAGATGTTTACAAGAATAATAATACAGGGCAAAACATTTATTATGTACTATTTATCTACTAGTATTATGTACTATTTATCTACTAGTATTACTCAATACTAGTCACTATGCTAACTTTTTGCACACATTGTTTTATTTAATCTTTACAACTAGTTTTATGGAAACAACAGCATTTGCCTTTGAACTTGAGAGATGGGCAGAAACTGGACAGGTGCAAGAAGAAGGTAAAAAGGTAAATGGAAGAAGGAGCAAATGGTGGCAGGAAAACTCAGGGACAGTTGGGGAAATAGTTGGCGTTCCTATTCATTGGGGCACAAAGGGCATGAGAGATGGTAGGGGGAATAATACTGGAAAGGCAGATCGAGATGAAGGCATGAGGAGTTTGGAATGCCAGGACAAGGAATTTGTGCTATTGACAATGAGATGTTCTAAGCAAAGAGGTAAGAGACCCCAAATCCACCCTCACATAGCTTAGATTTATCTGGTGAAAATATTCTTACAATGTAAAGAAGTTACGATCTTTTCCAAGGTGAATATAGAAGTGGGGAAATTATTAATATATAAGCATTCATAATTTAGCCCCTGTCCCTAACTTTTAGAGTGACTTTCCTTTGTGCCAGCAGCCAGATGTCCTCAATTGTGCACAGTTTATATAGTGGGGAAACAATGCAAAAACTTTGAAAACCTAAGAGGGTAAGCTGATCATATAAAGAAGGGTTTACTTGATGCAAAGGCAGAGAGACAGAAAGGCTGAGTGTTGGGGCTGGAGAGGTTGGAATTTAACAAGAAAAGAGAGAAAGATTGATTCTTAGGGAGCTGGTGCCGTCCATATGGAAGAAGCTGAGAGTGATAAGGAAAGAGTGTTTTTAGAATGTGATGTCATTTGCTTTGTTAAGAGAAAAAAACAAAGACTTGAGGCACATCCTTGTAATTACTTTTCCACTTCCAGATTGCAGGTGCTGGGAGTTATTATCAGTAGGGGGAAGAGCTTGACTTGATACTTAGAGAAGGGCATGACTTTCTCTAAGCTTGAGTTGATACTTAGAGAAGGGCATGGTGGTGGGGAAGAGGAGAAGCATTTTGTGTTCAGCTTGCAGGGAGATACAGCATGGGTCCACAGCATGCACAGACACAGCATGCTCTCCTCTGTGTATTTTCATTCTCAGGCTCTTGAGGAGGTGAGATGGCTCCACTAGTCCCCACCTCCCAGGTTCAGGTCTAGGAGAAGAAAGGGCCAGCTCCCCAGTAA